CACTAATAATAGGTTCGGCGTGCACGAAAAAAAATTCTAATTTGATTGTTTATACATATTTTGTTTTCCTTTCTATGTAAAATCCTTCTTCTAAATTATTGGTGATTCGAGATATAAATTGGGTTGTACATTAATTTTGGTTTGTATGGTAAAAGAATATGTACTATTATGTTATGTATATGCTTAATTTGTACCGTAATATAAAGATACAAATTTAGTTTGTACTGTAAAAAAATTTGTATAAAAATGTATATGTACAAATTGAATTTGTAAAATAACGTTAAACATACAAGTTAGTTTGTATCACAAATAAATTTGTAAAAAATAAATGCATTAAATTAATTTGTACCATAACATTGAACGTATAAGTTTAGCTTGTAAAGTAAAAATTGAACACCGATACTATAAAATTTTATAAAGTTCATTTTCTTGCATGTGCACCATTAATAATTAGGAGATCGCCATGACTTAATAGTGTTCTATTGACAAATTAAGATCAGAATTAATTTCCACTAGAGACGGAAACAATGAAATAGTCTCGACTTACTTACAATGACTTTAAATAATTTGTGAAGATATTAGCATAAAGGGGCGGATCTATGTAGGGCTTCGGGTCCTCGAGAATTTTGAAACTTAGTTGTAAATCGTTACAAAATTTGGAGAATTACGTATAAAATTAGTAATTATTGATAATAAAGGGGTGTAAGAAAAATATAATTGCTAGTTGTTGTAGTCTAGCGGATTGGTTGTTAGCCTTGTGACTCTTTGGTCAAGGTTTGAATCTAGCTAACGCCATATTTTTACAGCTTTTTAAAGTTTTCTTGTAATCAAATGGTAAATTTAATCCTTTAAGTTCCATATATTTGCTTGATAAATCCTATACTTTCAAATTAAGTTAATTAAGTACTTGTACTCTTTTTTTTTTCGTTGAATCAGTTCCTCCTTTTATTACTTTTGCAAAAAGGAAAGCCATTTGCAAGGCACAAATGACCAAACCAATACAACGAAAGGAAAGCTCAAGTAGAGAAGCCCTATAAGTCGAAATAAAACCTCCTACCTCCTACCACACACTACACATAGACCTACTCAAAGTTCTCGACCCCCTAAACTCCCTGCAAACCAAGCAGCAACAACCCTTCAGTAAGTTTTTCATTATCGTCACAAATAATCCTCAGATCACAAGTAACATCCCTGATCAATTCCTCCACTCGCTTCCTGGCATTTCCATACAAGCGGCGGCAACGCTCCTTCCAGATCCCTGCGCAGCATATGCACCAGATCAAGCTTGTTATCCTACCCAGCTTTGGCCTTTGACAACCAGCAATACCTGCAGCCACAGTAGCCTCCCAAGAACCGCAACAGAACATCCCCATTTGTAAAGCCCTAACAACTTGTCGAGAGAAAGCACATGCAAAGAATAAATGTTCACGAGTTTCGACTTCAGTACCACATAACACACATAAACCATCTGTCTGCTTACCCCACGTCATCAGCTTCTGCTTCGTGACCACAGCGTCTAACATGATCATCCAGGCTAGGAAGCTGTTGCGAGGTACATAATTCTTCCCCCATACTAACTTAGCCCAATCAACCACCTCATACTTGACCCGCAAGGTGTTCCAAACGACAGAAACTTTGAATACAGGCATAGGTTTGTTATCCCACAGAATCTGAAAATTTTGCAGCAACAGTAAAGGATGAACTAGAGGTCGCAACTTAAGAATCCTCCTCCAGGCCCAGGAGCTGCTCGGGCAATCAGAAACTGTCCAGATGCAGCGATCCTTGACTTTATACTGTTGAAACCACGCTACCCATATAGCTCCACTCTTCATTAGGAATAACCAGAGGAATCTGATTGTACATGCCTTGTTCCAGGCACATAATTCACGCAACCCCAAACCTCCTTCCATTCTAGGTCTGGCCATCATATCCCAACTCACCTTAGCACGACCCTCTTCTCCCCCATGCCAGAGAAACTTGGAACACACCAATTGAACTTGCTTAATAACTTTTTTGGGCAGGATAAAAATCTGCATCCAGTACTGGAGTGTCCCCATCAACACTGACGAAATCAACTGCAGCCGCCTAGCATAACTGAGTTTTTTGGCACGCCAAGACTGGATCTTCTTTGTAATTATGGCCACTAACTTGTCAGTCTCACTAGAAGGCAGCTTCCCTGAAAGAAGAGGCACACCCAAGTATCGCACAGGTAAGATACCTTCTGCAAAACCTGAAACCCGCAAGGCTGTCTGCTTGAAATGCACTGACTTCCTCCCAAAATACACCTCGCACTTCCCTGGATTGCACTTTAGCCCCGACATGGTATGAAACTCTTTCAAAATTCCCTGAACCTTCTGAATAGCCTGCCCTGAACCTTTTGTGAAAATGAGCAAATCGTCGGCAAAACACAAATGTGTCAAACCAACCTTCTTGCACTGAGGATGAAACGCCAGGGTGCCTTCTGCAGCAGCTCGGTTCAAGAGAAGTGAAAGTCCTTCCATAGCTATTGTAAATAGGTAAGGTGAGAGGGGGTCACCCTGTCTCACCCCCCTCTGTGCCCCAAAGAAACCACACAACCCACCATTAACACAAATGCTAAACTTTGCTGTCTTAAGACAAAGTCTAATCCAGTAAATGAATCTCTGAGGGAATCCCATTACTTCCATCATAAGGAATAGATAGCCCCAATAAACAGAATCGAAGGCTTTCATAAGATCCACCTTTATAGCACATCGAGAAGAAAGGGGACTTTTGTGGTAACCACTCACAAGCTCTTGTGCCATTAGTATATTATCTACAATCCTTCTCCCTTCAATAAAAGCAGACTGATTTCCACTAACTACACTAGACAAAACCTTTCTCAATCTATTTGCAAGCAACTTAGCAATGATCTTATAGAGAATATTCACACAAGAGATTGGTCGAAATTCTTTTAGCCTACAAGCAGAAGCAACCTTTGGTATCAACGATACAGCAGTGGATTTTACACTACTAGGAAGCTTACCAGAAGTGAAGAATCCCAGAATCCCAGCAGTGATGTCCTCCCCAATAACCCCCCATGTGCGTTTGTAGAAGCCAGCGGAAAACCCCTCCGGGTACTTGTACTCTTTGAATTGGTAATTTAAGAATTTTTTGCTATATAATCAATTAGTTAATTCTTTTGAAACACTAATACAAACGGTAAGTCATTTTTCTATTGAAAATATATTTAATAACATGATATCCATCGACTTGTATAGTTAAATTTTCTTATACAATTTGCTTATTGTTATGAACATAACACTATATATAGAAGAAATTCTATTATAAATTATTTTGTTTTTTTTCAAATAAAATCTTACCTCGTTATGAGAATATATCATCATTATTTTTATTAAAATACGTTGCTCATTTTTTTTATTGCGTTTTAATGACATTTCATTAAATCATTGCCCCCCCTCCCCACCCCGACCTAAAATCCTAGCTCCGCCCCCTGTTAGCATTGGCTATAAACTTTAAAAAAAAAATGGAACAAATAACAAATAGAAAGTTACATCGTCAAACGAAAAAAATATTTGTAATCTCAAAACCAATTTGTGTTAAGGGAGCTTTTGCCTTATACTATTATACTACCAATGGGGTTTGGGTTTTTTTTAATTTTAATATAGCATGGAATATGAGAATCATAAAACGAACGAAACTCGAGATGCTGACAATGATTAAGCGCAACAGAGACTAAATATGACACACACAAGCTCCTAATTAATCTACTAATTGAAGTACAAGTGGGGGATTATTAATCTATATGGGGCATAATTAGGAATCTAATCGATGAACTCTTGTTTTTAAAGCATATTCTGAGGTCTCCAATGGCATCACGAAAGCTAGGTAGCCAAAAATACCATCAGAATATTCCTTAAAACCTCTCTCACTGTTGGTTTGTGCCACCACCAACGTATATGCTGTGTTATTATTCTTCCCATTAGGTCCTCCTCCCCTTCCCAAATCACAAATTCGTCCTCATAATTTCTGTTATTGACTTGCCAAGGAGTGGGAGAAAAAAAGTTTGGTGGTGGTTTTGCAAGTTTGTCCCCCCTCCACTTTCCCATCCCCAACTTGGGGAAATGGTTCAACTTCCCCTCCCAGTTTGTAATTTGAGACTTAACCAATGAAGGAATATCAACCATCATTCTTTTGGTTTAGTCCAATTTGATTCATCAACATAAAAAAAAAAAGAATTAACTGGTGATCGAATTTTATACCTACGAAATCACTCAGTTTCCGAACCCATTATCTTCCTTACAACTGTGAGAACGTGTCCACAGTGGCTAGGAGTTGTTGGATTGAGATTTGAGTGCCGAGTGCTTCGCGTCCGTTAGATGAAAGCAATGCTAATTTATTTGTAAAATTACCACCGCGCCAATATAATTAACATGAAGCACCCAATAGTTAGATACAAGGAATCCCAACTCTGTGAGCATGCTCTTATACATTGGTTGTGAACACCATATCCCATTGTGAGTGTGACTCTTTGTTTGCCTTTTCTTCAATCTTGGGTTGAAAATATATAGTCTCTTATCTATAACAAAAACAAAAAATTTAGGTTGTAAACAAAGTTTTGCGTACAAATTTCATGGTGTGGCACAAGTACTACGGGCCGGGGGTGCATCAAATATCAACATGACCAACCACTTCATCAACCGCCACGTATACATTGCCGGACCTCAAACCGCTCACGTGGCGCCCATCTACCCAAGTTTCACAGAACCACCGACGTCTCCGTCAGGTAACGGAATCACGGCGGAAGAAATTTAATACCCAACTCCAAAGAACGGCTACAAACCAAGTTTCAATCTCTTTCTACATATAAATTTTCTCGCGACCCAAACACCCTTTTCTTCTTTGTTTTTCCCTCCCTCCCTCCCTACTCTCTCTCTCGCTCTTTCCTCTCAGGCAGAAGAAAACAGAGCACTGGACATGCCAACTGGGCTCCCCGGCGGCCACTAGGAATTCAGCTGCATATGTCGACGCCGGCGGTAAAGGAGCCACTTCTGGGGAACGGAAACACGAATTCCGACGAGAGTAAAGCGACATTGCTCCACCAATCGTGTTCGTTCCGGCAGTTCCCCGAGCCGGGATGGATTTTCGACGAATTGCCCAAAGCTTCAATCGTTTCGGTTTCCAGGCCGGATACAGGGGATTTCAGCCCCATGATGTTGTCCTACACCATTGAGTTGCAGTACAAACAGGCAAGAACGCTCTTGAAAGCCTTTTTCATGAAAAAACTGCATTTGGGTTTCTGATTTTGGATGTAAAGTTTGAATCTTTTCAGATTTTTGAATTCAATCCCGTTTCTGGGTTCTGGGAGTTTAGATGTTTTGCTTGTAGAAATTTTTTAGGACTATTTGTGACCTGGAAATTAATCATAGTATGATATTTCATTCTTGCTTTTAATTCAATCATTGGAATACTATGTTTTTTTTTTTTTTTGGGTTGTAAGTATAACTAAAAGTTTCATCATGACACTTGTAAAGTATCATTTGTTTAGCTTAATTTTTGGTCATTTTTCTTACCTTCTTAGTGTTGTTTTGATTGATAGACCAAGAATTACAATTTTAGCAAATTAAATTAGAAAATTTTAGGCATTACTCGATTGATACACTTGGGATCAAATTTGGCAGAATTTCTAAAAGCAGGCAAATTCTGGTTATTTCCTCAATTTGGCATGGGATGAACAAGATTAGAGGGAAAAATGGTCCTGGTTTATGTCTGAATTTCCTTTTTATCCGCTAAACTTCTGAAACTACCAATTTGGTGAAACAGTTCAAATGGGTATTGGTGAAGAAAGCTTCTCAAGTTCTCTACTTACACTTTGCCTTGAAGAAACGTGCACTCATTCAAGAACTCCACGAGAAGCAAGAACAGGTATCACAAAAGAAAAAAGTTGATTCGTTTCTCTTTATTGAAAATGACTAAATTATTTCAGAAGATTCTAACTTTATGATTTCGCTCATTAATTTGGTCAAAACACGAAAGGTAAAGGAATGGCTGCATTACTTAGGAATGGTTGATCAAGTAGCAGTGACACAAGATGCTGAAGAGCCTGATGATGGAGCAGTTCCATTGCACCACCAAGAAGATAGTGTTAGAAGCAGGTAGAGTTTGTTTGCTTCATTCAGCATTACGATCTCTGAACTTCCATTTCTTCGTGCAAATTTGTCTTATAGTATCTTAAAGACTTTCAACTGTGGATTATATATCAGCAGAAGCGTGCCATCAGCAGCTGCATTGTCAATCATTCGTCCGACGCTAGGAGGGCAGCAGGCGATTGCTGATAGAGGAAAGGTGGCAATGCAGAATTACTTGAACCATTTCCTTGGTAGTATGGATATAGTCAACTCCAGAGAGGTAAGGAAAAAAGGTCGAGTTGCTTCAATTTTGCAACGAAGTACTTCTTTCAACTTTTTCGCCTAATGTTATCTTCGAATGTAGGCCTGCAAATTTCTCGAGGTCTCCAAGATGTCGTTCTCAAGGGAGTATGGTCCAAAGTTGAAAGAAGGGTACGTGATGGTGAAGCATGTGCCAAAGATATCTTCAAGGGACGAAAATTCCACTGCAAATTGCTGCCCATGCCATTGGTTTTCTTGTTGTTGTAACAACAACTGGCAGAAGGTAATATAAGTCCGGAAATTAGAAACTGGGTTTGATGTTTTGTCGAATGTGCAATGCATCAGCTTCTTTTGTAATGGTGCAGGTTTGGGCAGTTTTGAAACCTGGCTTCTTAGCCTTTCTGCAAGACCCTTTAGATGATACAAAGCTATTAGACATTGTTGTTTTTGATATTCTATCAACACCAGACAAAGGTGAACCACGAGCATTAGCAAGCCAGATCAAGCAGCATAATCCTTTGCGCTATGCCTTTGAGGTTGGCCAGCCTAAATTGTCAATTCTTGTTTTTATTGTTGCCAGTGGTTTGTTGACTGACGTATCTGAAATGTGTGATAAGGTTTCATCTGGTAATCGGAGCATAAGAGTGAGAGCTACAAGCAGTGGAAAAGTGAAAGGATGGGTTGCTGCTATAAACGATTCCTCTTGGTGCCATCCTCATCGATTCGGTTCCTTTGCTCCTCCAAGGGGTTTGACTAACGACGGAAGTGAGGCTCAGTGGTTTGTAGATGGGGAGGCAGCATTTGATGCAATTGCCTCGGCGATAGAGGATGCAAAATCTGAGGTAAATTGTAGCTAAGAAGAGAATTTGAAAGATTCTGGTATTGCTTCTTTGGCAATAGCAGATCATAATCCATATTTGTATAGCCTCAGAATCTGAAGCTTTCATTTCGAGACCCAAATTTTGATCAAAAGCTTATGTGTGCAGATATTCATTACTGGCTGGTGGCTTTGCCCTGAGCTATATCTAAGACGCCCTTTCGAGAGTCATTCTACTTCTCGGCTCGATTCTTTACTTGAAGCTAAAGCAAAGCAAGGTGTCCAGATTTATATTCTTCTATACAAGGAGGTGTCCATTGCTTTGAAAATCAACAGCTCTTATAGCAAGAGAAGGCTTCTCGACATACATGATAATGTCAAAGTACTGCGATACCCTGACCATCTCGCCACTGGTGTCTATCTATGGTACGCTATTGGTGGCTGGACATTCAGCAGAATCCGTTATTTCTTTGAGAATGTGCTTTCCTTATTTTTCTGTTGTTTTGCAGGTCTCACCATGAAAAACTTGTAATTGTGGATTACCACATCTCCTTTATTGGAGGATTAGATTTATGCTTTGGCCGTTATGACACGATTGAACATAGAATTGGCGATCATCCTGCTCACATTTGGCCAGGGAAGGACTACTACAATCCTAGGTTAGTTTGTGAATCTAGAAACCAGAGAAAATTCCATCATTTCTTGCTCCAACATTCCATTCATGGGTCCATGCAATGTTGTTTTGCTAGAGAGATTGAACCCAACTGTTGGGAGGACATGATGAAAGATGTGTTGGATCGAAGTAGATATCCACGAATGCCATGGCACGATGTCCACTGTGCGATGTGGGGTCCACCTTGTCGGGACATTGCCAGGCACTTCATCCAACGATGGAACCATGCCAAGGTACGATATGTTCTTCACCACTTCTCAATTCAAATGGTATAATGTTTTTTGCCTCTCAGAATATCCGATTTGTTTCCTCAGAGAAGCAAAGCTCTCCACGAGCAAACAATCCCTCTGCTGATGCCTCACCACCATATGGTCCTCCCTCATTACTTGGGGAGGAGCGTCGAGATAGACATTGAGCAAAATCATATGGAAGACGAGCAAAAACGAATGAACAGATTGGATTCCATCTCGTCGTTATCCCCATTCGAAGACGTGCCATTGCTTTTGCCTCAGGAAGCGGATGACTTGGTCGTTCACTCTTGTATGGAGCAGAACAACATTTCTAAAGCCACAGTTGATAGTCTTCCTGATCCCTCTGCTGAAGCAAAAAGACGAATATCGTTTTCGTTCCAGAATCCCGTAGTTGAATCTACGTCTGCTCCTGATACTACAACATCGGCAGATTCCTCGTCCAATGAGCTTGACTTCATGGAGCTTCATGGCAACAACAAGCAGGTGTCTGATGAATCGTCAGAAACATCCGGCGAAGAAGATGGTCACCATGAATTTCCCTTTTGTGGTTATGAACAAGTTGGACCTCGTGTTGCATGCTCTTGTCAGGTTTAGAATCACCCTGCCTATAACCATCTTCCCGTTTTTGCCATAGATTACTACTTCCATTGATTATAATGCTGATTGATTATGTATATAGATCATAAGAAGTGTGAGTCAGTGGTCCGCTGGATCTAGCCAAACTGAAGATAGCATACACAAGGCTTACTGCTCTCTCATTGAAAAAGCAGAACACTTTATCTACATCGAGGTATTCGAATTTCATCCGCTTGATGTTCATCTGTTGCTTGATTAAACCATTTAGAGATTTTATAACTCCAAGATGAAATCTGTAAGGTTATGCTAAGGGTATCATTTGAACTTTTGTCCCGTTTTTGTTTTCAGAATCAGTTCTTCATATCAGGGCTTAATGAAGATGAAGTCATCCAGAATCGAGTACTTGAAGCATTGTACAGACGGATTCTGAGAGCACATAAAGAAGAGAAGTGCTTTCGAGTTATCGTTGTCATACCTCTTTTACCAGGCTTCCAGGTAAACTTCCTGGTTGGTAACTTGGTTTCTGGATAGACAGAACAGAACACCCAACTTCATGTTTCTCCTGTGATGTCTCATTGATAGGGAGGAATTGACGATGGTGGAGCAGCAACAGTTCGAGCCATAATGCATTGGCAATATCGAACAATCTCGTGGGAGAAAACATCGATACTGTACCATCTCAATGCTTTGCTTGGTCACAGAGCACAAGACTACATTTCCTTTTATGGCCTGAGGACATATGGAAGGCTTTCTGATGGAGGTCCCATTGCCACAAGTCAGGTGTACGTCCACAGCAAAGTTATGATAATCGACGATCGTGTTGCCTTCATCGGATCATCCAACATCAATGACAGAAGTTTGCTCGGATCTAGAGACTCTGAGGTATTGTTGCTCACATGAAAGATCATAGAGCTCAAGATTCTTCATCTTGGCATAATTAAATCTATCTGCTATTAGATTGGGGTGTTGATCGAGGACAAGGAGTTTGTCGATTCATCCATGGATGGACAGCCATGGAAGGCTGGGAAACTTGCATACAGCTTGAGATGCTCGCTTTGGTCTGAGCATCTAGGGCTAAACAAGGACGAGGTTAGTAATCATGAGACCTACTGATTCCATCCAGTTACATCAACTGTGAACTCATGAACATTCGTATGATTCAGTTGGACAAAATCTGTGATCCTGTAGTAGACTCGACATATAAGGACTTATGGCAAGCAACTGCTGAGGTAAGAACAATAAGAGAAAATCTAAAATGGTTTTACCCTTTCTCCTCTTGGCATGCAACTTATAAAAGATTGTCCCTTTTGTTGCATTGGAGCAGGAGAATGCCAAGATATACCAGGAAGTATTTGCTTGTCTCCCCAATGATCTCATCCATTCAAGGTATACTTTTTCTTGATTGATTTTGTTATATTACTGATCTTTTAACTTGAGGTTTGCATGTAAAGAGTTGACATTTTTTCCTTCCCAAAATGAAGGGGTTCTCTGAGGCAAAACATGAACTACTGGCGGGAGAAGCTCGGTGGCCACACCACCATTGATCTAGGCATAGCTCCACCGGAGCTAGAACGCCACAAAAATGGTGAAACAAGGACAGTAATGGAGAGATTGAGATCGGTGAGGGGGCTTCTGGTTTCGTTCCCATTGGAATTCATGCGTCAGGAGGACTTGAGGCCGGTTTTCAATGAGAGTGAGTTCTATGCCTCATCTCATGTCTTCCATTAGACGACGAGCAGCCATGAAAGCAAAAAGAAGATAATATGGAGAGGAAGAAACGTTTAGATGGTACAGTCCTTCCAGTTTGCAACTGTACAGAAGCTGGAGGAACAAGGTAACAGTGTTAGAACTATAGAGGCAATAAACTACAGTAGACATAGCTTGACATGATTCATTGAAGCTTAGGACATGTTTATTCTTCTTCTTATAAGATCATAGGTCCATAAATGGTTTGATATTTTCAGGTGTATGCATGAGCTCGAAATTTGGTTAGTCTTTTTCGCCACATTGGCTTAGTCATTTGTACAATATGCCATATACTTTTAGAATCAGAAAAACTCCACGGGCTTAACTTTCCTTCATCAACATTACGACTTTCTACTACATATGAGGTAAAAACATACAGTTTAACAGCTTGAAATATTGTTCAGCATTGCTCCGACATTAGCAATTAGCTATTTGTACAAAATTATATATGTCATATGGATAAGAGAACCGAGATCCAATCAAGTAAGCGGCTCCACTTCGTTGGGGTGTCCGTCGCTGTCAAAACCTTTACCACAGAATGTGATCCAAGGTCTTATCTGGGTGTATTCTTCGAGCCCAGATTCTTCTAGTGCTATTCTAGTACCTATTTTACTCAAAACAAGCCGCATCTGGGACTCAAGTCGGGTGAAATCCGTCTGCTCCTTCACCAGTTCAAGAGCAAGTTTCAGCCTCTTATGCACCTGAAACAAAGAAACATATGTGCAAAAAAGTAGTTCTTTGAGACATCCTGAGGTAAATAGATATCCAAACACATCTATTATACTGGAAAACATCACAACTTATACGAAGTAGGTAAAAACTCTTTCATCACTTACGTTCAACTCTGCAAGCACTTCCTGTAGCTGCAAATTGTTTGCACCATTGGAGATTGCAGCCCCGTGATCGGCCAACCTCGAGAAATCAAACCTTCGTATGAGCTGTACATATTACGACGAAGTTCATAACTCTAATTTACGCATGAAAGGAGTGAAATTAGCATTGAAGAAGAAAGGTTGTTGAACATTTTGCTACTCAGAGTCAGAACAAAAGGGAAAAACAAACTCAACATAAGGCAACTAGAGATTGCGGACCACATCATTAAAGCCTTCATTAAATTACAGAACAAATAATGAACAGACGAAGTAACCCAAAACAAACGATTATTCCAGAAACAACCGCACCTCGATGAAAGGAACACGGTTCATGGAGATGGTTGATAAAAGGTCCAATGCGGTAGGCAAATTGGGACCGTCAGCCTTGCTGTATGGCTTGTCCTGCACAATCAAGAGAGGGTATCATAGTCCAGCTCAAGGATATGAGCAACAGAGATGGAGAGAGATAAGCATACCTTGAGATGATCAACCTTCACAATAAGAGGATCTTCACTGACCTGTACACACAGAATCCGAAAACGAGTTTTCAGATTAGAGGGTAAGGAAAACGACACTATGGTCTTATGATATTGTGAGAAGAAAGAGGAATGGGGAAAGATGGAGTTTAATCTGTAATATACCATCTCTGTGATCCGAAGCCGACCATGCCCAACAAGCACATGACCAGCAATCATATCCCCACCGTTGTCATCCACAATCTGGCCAGTCACATTATACAGAATACAGTATCAACATCACCATTCCAAGTCCGTCCCCTGCTTCGACCACAAAAATGAGGGGGGGAAACCCAACTGAAATCGGATTAACCAAAATGTTGAAATGGAGGTACCCCAGCTAGCGTTCCAACTTGGTGAAGACGATTGAAGAGATCCTTGCCCGTGAGACAGCCGGTGCTTTTCTCCGACTTTAAATCAGTGCTTGGCTCGTCTTTGAGCAGAAAAACACCAACATAAGGCGCTCGACTTTCCAATATTTCTCAATATGCTGGCTTCAGTTTAGGATAAAGAATGCCATGACAAACAAAAGAAGCAACGAACTCACTCGGTTGATAAAAAAGCACGGAGAATTTAGGCAGCTACGATAGAATGCGCCTACCAAAACTCAACAGGGCAAGAATGTGAAATACCTTCTGCACATTGACAGATGTAATCATACTGGGAAACAGAGGTCTACCAGTCCATGGCAACGCCAATACCTGCCAACACAAAGTAAAAGATGAACAAAACGCAAAAAAAACCCTGACACAACAATACCATCCGCGAGTAACATTGCAGATCAGTGGCCCTTTTCATACCCTGATACAGATGCTAAAAAGAAACCTCCAAGTTCTTTTGTCATGATGGGGGCACCATTGAACCATCCAGATTTAGTGATGAAGACGACAAACTGGGGAAACCCCCCAACTCACAATCCATTCTTTAACACTAATCCATATTAAATTGCGAATATGAGAGCTAATATATTAATTAACAATAAAAACCCTAAAACCCAACAGAAGTATTAAAAAACCCCGGTTCCTCAAGCTCAAACAGCATCCAAACAAAACACAAAAACCAGCAATGTAGAGCGTCATTCTTTACAAATACCAACCGTGGCATGGTCCTCGAGCCTAGGAGTGACGTAACCAGGGAGAGGGAAATCCCTTTGACCGAGATTGGGGCTCAACGAACCAGAACTTCGGGCGGAGCTGGGAGGAGCTGCAGCTGGTCGGAGGAGGCGTGGAGAAGCGAGGTGAGTGAGGCGGCTGCGGGAGGACGCAGTGACTACCTTCAACATTGAGATGGAATGCAAATTGGCAGATTTGATTCTAGGGTCTTCGGTTGCAGAGAGAATAGACGAAGACGACCGCGAGGGCAAGGTTCAGTAAAAACGAAATGATGATGATGAAGTAATAAAATTTGTACTTGGGTAACTAGTCAGGGGCCCGGCTAGTTGGTCGAGTTCATTTGTCAATCACGTAAACAACAATAGCTATTGTATGCGAGATATGTGTTTTTTTGGTAGTATGAGAAATTTTGATTTGTTCAAATACTTAAAACATTCAAATTAATTGGTAGTATAAGACAATCAAAATTATTTTAGTAATTCAACCATTTAAAAGGATCAACATCATAATGTTTTCTGATACTAACTGACTCATCGACTAAAATGTCTTTATGAAAAATGAAAGAAAAACATCATGAAAGGGATTCGGCTCTTAATTCAAATCACCCTTTTGTCTACGCATCATTGTCAGAGATTACTACAACTTTTCTTTTCGTATATCATCAATAATAACATCTTCGTTTGAAATATGTTCCTTCACTGTAATTGAAATAGAGATCACCATAAACATGATTCACAATATCAACAATGTCATCTCCTTCAAGCAGAATGCTCAAAGAAGTTGGAGTTGAGATAATTGACTCCCCACAAACACTGGATCCCACTCCATCACCTATATGCAAAATCCATTTGTTGAATTCTTCAATCTAAATAACTTCTTCAAACCCACAAAATTTTAGGCAGAATCGCATGTTTTGAGAGTGATAAATACAACCTTTTGATAAAAGAATTTACAATATCTGCTCGGGGTTCCTTAGTAATTATTGGTAAAGTTTGTTGAAAATCTCCACCGAATACAACATAAATTTCCCCAATGATCATGTCTTGTCTATTTGGTGCTTCAATATTATGCTTATGAGCCATAGGAGCTTCATCCCAAATAATAAGGGGAACTTTTTGAATCAGTTATGCTAACTTGCTTTCGTGTTCAATATGTCATGTTAATTTTGAGTCACAGTTAATTAGAATACGGAATCGAGAATGAACAGTTCTACCTCCAACCATTAGCAAAGCTACAATGCCATGCGAAGCAATCCACGACACTACTTTCTTTTTCTGGTCGTAGCTTCAAACAAATAAACTTCCAAATAAATGTTTTCCGCGTACCTCAAATCAACAAAAAAGCGATTTCGATTTTCTTCCTCCACATCCCCAATAATTTCAACGAATGCCTTCATTTTCTCTGAATCAATTTTGGTTACAACGTATTTACTTCTTCAGTAAATCTTATGGATTGTAATTTAAGTATTTAACTCCTCAACGATCATTCAATTTTGAGAATTTAATCTCATAGCTCCATATGGAATAGGCGTAGAGGTTTCCAAACTTTATGCAATAGTTTATCTATATCCATCGAGTATATATGTTTGATCACATCAGTAAAAAGTTACAAATTGGATAAATTTAACTATCTCCTTCAATTGAATTGAACGTGATATCATCACTCAATAATTCCCAATTTCTCATTTAAAAGATTGCACATTAGACATTTGATAGTGAATAAGAATTGTGACAAATAGATTCCTTACTTTATATCTAGAACCACAAAAGGCAATTTCCTTCAAGAAGTCACTTCACTGATCATCTGCCAATAACCTAAGAGCAAAAGACATTTTTTGAAAGGAATCATGTACTCCACCATTAACTGTTCTAATTTCTCCATAAGATGACAACCTCTGGCTAAATGCAGCGACTTGCGAGCATCAAATACAATCTTCCAATACACACGTTTTTCTTTCTCATCTGGCGCATTCTCAATTTTTGGTCCATATGAAATATTGAGGGAACTCTACAATGAATATTTGTATGCCTTAGAAGAATGAGCATTGCTTTTCATCCATGGCAATAAAATTCATATTTTTTTTATGATAGTATTTTCAGTTATTTGGTTCTCCTTCATTATTACTTTATTCTCCATATGCTTGTGACATACGCAACATAGAAGGTGAACTACATCTACTATCAAACTTAAAAATTCTCCGACATGCTTCGCCTGATGTTAGTAGCAACTGTCTAGAAAAGCTTTAATCTCTTCAATACAAACGCAAGTTGCTGAGATTTTCTATGGCGTTGGGGTTGTGTTTCATTATCACCTAGTACTTTAACATACTTGAACCAATACTTGATAGCACAAAATAAAATAATAATTTAATCATATAACTCGAAACATTCAAATAATGCAATAATAAAGTAACAAAAATCTGTTGAAATCTTAAAGGGTTATATATTTACTTTTAAAATTTGGTTTCACCATATTTTAATCTATATATTTCCAAATGGTAACAATTTGGAAGTTTGGTGATAATTTTATTCTCTTGGTTGATCGAGTTACTATGTCGAAAATAAAAATATGTAGAAAAATCCTAAACAATAAACACACACGTCTCACACTATGCTATATAATTCAAAAAACCACTTTCCCTAACTAAAAATAATAATTTAGTAATATAAATATTAATAATAAAACGCTCCTGAGAGCATACACATCAATGCATTGTTTTTTTTAATTTCATTGGTGCTTTTTATTGCCACCTAAACTTTTTTGCAATTAAACTTACATTACTTTCATTGGCATAACTTGCAATTGCATATTTGAATCCAATTTATTTTTTTAATAAAGTAAAAAAGGAAGAAAAACCGCAATAAAAAGTTATGGATGTCTATCTCGGAATCGCAAATGGAATTGTATAAAATGGTAGCTTGCATTATTGCAATTGACACTTCCATCAATGCAATTAAAAGTGCAATTGCATTTCTATTGCCATGTCGCTACTTTGCAATTCAATGTGGTAGATTGATGTGGATGCACTAATTCTAACCCATTAGAATATAGTTAATCGTATAGCAGCTTGATACCGATGAGGATATATTAAATACTTCGTTACAATGATAATACCAACAACGAATGGAAAAATGGGAAATATTTCAGGAGAAAAAACAAACTGTCAGGAGACATCATCATAGTCTCGGAGATGTTTAAAAAGAATGACGCCTCGTCAAATTATTTGCTTACAACAGCATATTCAAATCCTCTAGATCGCTGCCTTCGAGGAGTGAGGTTCACAAAACACATCACCCGAAGATTATTGCAAAGACTATCAGCAAGTTTGGTGAACGTTAACAATCTATTTTTTTGAGTTCGTATATATTTTCCTAAATAACACATGGGATTGACAGATATAATGGTAAGATTTCTAGCATTATGAAATAAAAACACATGTACTTACATTTAATTTTTTATGATTGAATTGAAATACTATTTAATTGTTTGGATGACTCACCGCATGGTCTTTGAAACATCAAACTACAAAGAATAAACACAAATAATAATATACAAAAATAATATGCACCTTTGATTAACCAACCCATAATCTTGGACAGTTAAGTAACCATCCTATTCATATTCTCATGCTAGTATAATAATATAAAAATCATATGCATATTTGGTTAACGGTTACATGGATAACTGATTAAACAGTAAACGGCCGGCTTAGCAGCCAAATTTAGCTAATTAATAATCAATGGTTAAACAGTTAGGGTGTGCCTACGGTGACATGCATGTCACGGTGACTTGTATTTTCCGGTCGACCTCAGTTAGGATTAGGTCGACCTCATTTAGAATTCGGTCGACCTCATATAGGATATGGTCGACCTCATTTAGGATCAGGTCGACCTAATCTGTTGTTTCAGTGTAAAAACATGGTGCCTACTTTGGATATTCATATCATACAATTGGCTAGATGGAAATTGAAGACTAATGACTTGTTTTGAAGCTGGAGTGTCCCTCTACATATTGAAGTGATTGAGAGCTCGATAGAAAGTCCAGAAGACCATTTTTGAACCTCATCAAAAGGCTATGCCAAAACTGGGAAACTGCCTGGAAATGGCTAAGTCTGGAAACGTGTTTGTGAAGCCTATTTTGGAGCTCAATTCGAGAAGCATGAATGCGAGTCGAGTCCAGGAGCCTCTACCAGGTTAAATTAGGTATGTTTTAATACAAATTCAAGGCATTGGATGAAAGATTGGATATCTGTAAGGCTTCAAACAAAAGGGTCGAAGTTGCTACGAAGGCTGTTTTTCTGGCAGCTTGCAGCTGCGCGAAAAACAACCTTCGTAGCAACTTCGACCCTTTTGTTTGAAGCCTTAAAGATATTCAATCTTTCATCCAATGCCTTGCCTTTGTATAAAAAAATACGTAATTTACCGTGGTAGAGGCCCCTGGACTTGACTCGCATCCATGCTTCTCAAATTGAGCTCCAAAGTAGGCTTGACAAACACGTTGCCAGACTTAGCCATTTTCAGACAGTTTTCCAGTTTTGGCATAGCCTTTTGGTCAGGTTAAAAAATGGTCTTATGGACTTTCTATTGAGCTGCCAAGTACTTCAATGTGTAGCGGGACACTTCAGCTTCAAAACAAGCCTTTAATCTCCAATTTCCATCTAGCCAATTCTAAGATATGAATCTCCAAAGTAGGTACCATGAAATTGTTTTTACACTGAAACAACAGATTAGGTCGACCTAATCCTATATGAGGTCGACCGAAAAGTGCATGTCACCGTGACATGCATGTCACTGTAGCAAAGTCCAAACAGTTATAAGCGGCAGTTAACTCACTAACTAATTATTACCATCATCATAGTGAGGAAAAAATAATAGGCTTCTATGAACCGCATGCATAGGCAAAAAAAAAAAAAAAAAAAGAAGGGATGTTTTGGACTTGCCACATAGCTCGACAACAATCGGTAACATTTAACATTCCATGTAAATTGACGGGGGTTCATGAGTTGAGTAATTGTTGTTGTGTCTCTTATTTTTGTCTGCTTCTTTAATCAAATTTGACGGTAGAATGGTGTTAGTGTGTACTTGTGTTGGATTGAGTTGATTATGGATTGATATCTATGTTCAATTATTTTTTATACAATGATAACAACTTTAAAAAGAACACATATGAATACGGTTAATCGAAAAATTAATCGAGAACCGACAATACGAATACGGTAATCTGGTTAATAGAAAAAATAATAATTGTATAATTTTTTTATACAATTAT